TTTAAGTTCTTTTTTTCCCTGGGAAATACTATTATGGCTATATCAATCGCAGGCCAGCTTGTAGCTGTTGTTTTCCTCGTCCATAAATAAATACACTTAGTGTATCCTCACTACTCATCGACGAAAACTTAGAGTACAAAATATTGTATCAACATGAAATACCTCATCTGATAATTTCAGTAATCTGCATTAAGTAAAACGATGCGGGCTGGAAACATTAATTGTTTTTACATCGACGCGTTATCGACATGTATACCTAATCCAAAGCTTACTATTCAAAACAGATATTTTTTATGCCATTACATATTTTGTTATGACCATTGAAGGAAGAAGTAAGTTCCAGGATTGCGGTTAATTGTATCGACCGCTGTTAACAACTATATCCGTTGAAGTTGTGCGCGTTTTATGACCCTATTGAAAAAACAATTTATTTTATTTGGGGTTCACAAACACACCGTTTATTTAATTTAAATAAATTAGTTGTAACTGAAACTAGGTCACAATACAGTTAACGTTTAAACGGTCACTCCAGATTAGATGATTGTGCACGGTATAATAAAATACAAAAAATGAGTGTATGCAATTTTAGTGAATGATCCGTTGTAATTATTATCACCAGAAAAATTAGATAAAAATACAAATTTTTTTCACCGATTATTTTCTTGAAAATTATTTTGATTAAAATGGCTTTATTTTTTAATTTGTCAAATCTTCGTGGGTCACCCTGTATACAAATCTTAAACTGATAATATAACAGTTGTTATTTCATATTTTAATTAACGACCATACTCCAATACTATTATCGAATATCATTTTCAAATTAATATTGTGAAACCCACCATAATGAAAACGCGTATCGTGGTTCTACAAAATATTTACAAGGTGATTCTTCTATTATAAACCAGTCAATATCTCACTTGGTTTAATTGATTATTGATTTTTTTGTTTATAATGTTTTTATAAAACGTGATCTCAATTTTCACAATTGTTTACGTTGTTAACCTCATCCCAACCTCAAGTCTTTTTGATAGCATTTTTTGAAACTTAAACGGTAACGTTTAAATTTTAGTATCTCATAAACTCGAGTAAGTAGTATCCAATGTGGAAAGATTAAAAATATAAAATAGTAGTTCTACCAAAAACTTGCCATTTTTTAAGTTTATCTGTTTTTAAAAAAATGTTTTTCTTCATTTATTTTTTAGTTAGATTTAATTCGAAAAAGATCATTCAATTGAGAGGATTTTTATTAGGTTTTTAATTTTTCCGTTTCATACAATCTATTTTTACATATTAAGAATATTAAAATGTATAACTTTGTTGGAATGGTTTCCTCAACACCTAATTGTATTTTATATGTGGCTTGTTTTTTTTAATAAAACTGTTTTAAGGCAGATTATAAAAATACATTTTTTTCGACGATTTAGCACCTTGCTATAGATCTTAGCTTAAATCAAATAAGTTCAATTATAAACAAGTAAAACCAACTTGAAAAAAGCATTGAAAAAAAGAATGATCACTTACCCTCGCGTGAAGTGTAATCTTTTACACTTAAAATTGGTAACAATTTAACAATGTTCAATGGAGTTTAATGTTAAAGTGTTTAAGGTTAATAACCAGATTTGAACATCTTTTTTAATGTTATAAGAAATTAACAATTAGGGCAAGAGGACATGAGCACGCAGAAAAAAAAATACTACACTCCACCATTCCTCCTGCCATAACTTTAAAACTTCAATAACATCAAAAATAGTTTTCCAAAACTTGTTTTCGACCAGTCAAAATGTCCGGTACATTATTTTTTTTTTTATTTAAAAAGTTAACGAAATGTATGCGTTACCATTTAAGTTTAAATATTTGGTATACAAATAATTAGTTTGGGAGGGGAGTAGGAGTATAAAAATTTGTTGAATACTAAGATCACATTATATAAAAGCATTAAAAAAAAAATGTTCATTTGATTATATTAATTAAACCCAATGAGGGTTGATTATTTCACGATAAATTGACAACTTGTATATAAAATATAATCATATTGTCCCGAGAAAATAAGTTTCTTACATTATAGATTATGGAAAACAGAGAAATAACAATACGCACAATTCGTTAACAACATTTAAACGGCACAGTGCTCGTGTTTTATTAATCAATTAAATAATCTACATTCGGATAAATTTCAATTTAAATTCATTAAAATGAAGCCGAGAACGTTCCCGCCATTTATGGAATTGGTTGACTAGCCAAAGAAGTCGTTTGCTTGTAGTTGTCGTACACGAAACCCAATTGTGAATAATAGTTTTCGTATACCTCTTCCACGAGTTTTTTGATTTCTTCTCCAAACTGATATGCGATGTCGATCGGTGTCAAATCTCTAAAAACAACACTAGAAATAGCACTCGTTTCCAATACCGAGCAATATTTTTCTAAGAACGACTCCATGGTCGTTTTTACTGGGCCAGTGAGAAACGATGACAATTTACGAGGAAACGTACTCATGCTTCTATTGTAGTCAGGGTGTATTCGTCCAGTATGCTCGGATCCAAGCACAAATCTTAAATCTTCCGATATATTTTTAAATTGTTCAAAGCAAGGCAAGACAGGGGGTCTTGCCTAACGCCGTACAAAATAGTACACCGATTAATACGTGGCAATACATTTTGATTCGGTAAAAATATTGTTCGACTTCAGGATTTGATACGTCAGTGGAATTAATTCGATGCAAAGACCGTTCTTGCATGTTTACCTTACAAAATATTAAATTAAATTCTTACAATATATATTGCTATGAGTATAGCACTTGTAATTAAAGTAAGAGCGAGACAACATACAGAAAAATGAGACTACAATGACGTAGACACGGGCGGGGGCAAAGGTGGCAAAGAAATTATAATTTTTTTACTAAACGAATGAAAATTTGAAACTGATAATACAATAGTTGTTTTTTCATATTTTAATGTACGGCCATACTGTAATACTTTTATGAAATATTATCAAATTTGTATTGTGCAAACTGCCTTAATGAAAACCCGCAGTATGATTTTATATTATGTATATTCTTATCTAAATTAAATTCTAAAGCCATCAAATTGTTGATTTTAAAATTTTAGTTACTCAAAAAAATGTAGACATTATACTAAACGTCATTAACGATCATTAAATATGATTTACGTAGAACAGGTATTAATCTTTTAAGTATGTAAATAAGTATGTTCTTATGTATTAATTAGGAAAAAAAACATTTTTAGGGTATTTCTTAAAAAGAAAATATTAAGTTAAAAATGCACCTGCATTTAAAAAATAGGTATTTTATTTACCGTAATAAAATAATAAATATCCATTGGAACAAAACAGTTAAAATATATCCAATAATATATAATTATTATAAATTTTTAGTACCGTTTTTACTTTTAGGGCAATGTATCTTTTTGGATACAAGTATACAACTATAAAAATGAAAGAAAAAGGTAATTTATGTTTTTGGATATGAAAAAAAATGTGGTTTAAGGTGATGTATTATTTTGGATACAAACATAAATTCTGATGTATGAAGCAATATAGTATCATTTGGGATACATGAAAATTTATACTTAAATAACTAAATATGATAATGACTTTATTTTAATATTGATAAAATATTTAGTTATACTTGATCTGTTTCTAACAGCTGAGTTGAATACATTTTATTGTATGATTATATATTCTTATCTAAATAAAATTCTAAAGGCATAAATTTAGAAAGTTTTGGTGGTTCAAATTTTCTAGTAAGTAATAATTAATGTGGACAAATTATAAAGAGCAAATAATATATTTGTAAAGAGTTTGACTCCTGTGACCAATCACAAAATATAAGACTGGCTATAATATAGTCAGAGTATGCCACATATAAATTCTAATCATTAAATATATTTAATTGTTCAGTATGATTCACATTAAAGACGTTCCCAGCATTATAAGATGTTTCCAATGTACAGTTAAATATCACAATTTTTATTATTCTTCCAGGTATGTGTACCCTCATATTTAAATTGACCATCAAGTATTATAACTGCTATTACTAGTCAAATGTTTTCAGTTGTTTGTAAATGTATTTGTTGGAAAACTGGAATGGTTTAATATTCAACATTTAAAAAAAAACAGCTAAAAGTCTTCAACATAAATCTGATGAGGTATATACTTTAAAACGTGGTTTCTTTAATATCTGCTACATCTTTAATTCAATCTGCTAGCCTTAGCTTGTTGGTTTTTTTTTAAATATTTATTTAAATATTTCATTAATAAATTAATGTATTGTATAAAATAACCATAAATGTTGATTAAGACTTTTTCTAGTTTAAAGGTTTTTAAAAAACAATTTTTCATCATTTGTTTTATTTAATTGTTTTTTTCCGAAAAAAATCACTCCATTAGGAGTTTTTTTATTTTTATTTTTCGGTTTCATATAATCGGTTTTTACAAATTAAGCAAATCATATATAACTATTATTTTTTTTTTTTTTAATGTATACACATGTTGGAATGGTTTCCCGAACAACTAATTGTATTTTATATATGATTGCTTCTATATGCTTTTTTTTCAATAAAAGTACTTACAGCAGATAATAAAAAAAAATTGTTTTGCTTCGATTCAGCTCCTTCCTATTTATCATAACTTAATTCAACTAAGTTCAAAAATAAACAAGTTAAATCAACTGGATGACAGTATTGATAACAAGAATGATCACTTACCCTTGCGTGAAGTGTGTTATCTTTTAGAACCACATTGTTCATAAACTACAACGTTTTAATGGAGTACAGTAGATAGACGGTATAGCTAAATACAGGTCAATACAGGGTGATTCATATGATATCATATTTTTTCATACATTGTTGCAAAATAAGTTTCTGACATCATATAGATCATCCTGTATGTAGGAATGATTATCTATGAATCTACTAAGGCAAACAGCAGAATAACAATGCACACAATTTATTAACAACGTTTAAAAGGCACAGTGCTCGAGTTATATTAATCAAATAAATAATCTAAATTAGGATAGATTTAAATCATCCGAGGCCGAGAAAGTTTCCCACGATACTGTACATGGAATTGGTCGACTAGCCAGAGAAGTGGTTTGCTCGACGCTGTTGTACACGAAACCCAATTGTGAATAATAAATTTCGCTCACCTCGTCCACGAGTTTTTTGATTTCTTCTCCAAACTGATTTGCTACGTTGGTCGGAGTTTTTAGCCTACGAACTCTAAGCAAACGGGTTTGTTCACCAACGCTAGGAACAGCACTCGTTTCCGATATCGTGCAATATTTTTCTAAAAACGACTCCATGAACGGTTTGGCTTCGCCAACGAGATACAACGACAATATACGTGGAAAATTTTTCATTTTTCCATTATAGTCAGGGCCTATTTGTCCGGTATACTCGTCTCCGAGTACAAGTCCTAAATCTTTCGATACGTCATAAAATTTTTTCAAGTGAGGCAGTACGTCCTCTTCTAGCATGTGCAGAGTGTATTCGCCCGAAGGTATAGTGTCGACTAAATACCTGATTGCGCTGTACATACGTCCAAACATTTCACTATTGCCGGTCAATTGAAGCAACGCCAAACCGAAAATCTCCCAAGACACTTTGAAATCGTCGACAGGGTTTTCTTCTTCTTCCCCCTCCTCCTCCTCCTCTGTCGCAGAACTCTTATTTTTGCGATAATTAACACGGTTTGTAACGCTTCTTCTTGCTCTGCTATACTCTTTTAAGATATTCTTTAATAAATGAATAAATTTCAACACCGCGTTTACGTACACACATGCTACCAAATGTGTGACCATATAATGTTTGGAGTTTTCGTTGGGAATACTCAAATTACTACCGGACACAAATAAATCTTCTTCGGTGAACAATCCATTTCCGTTGACTGCCAATCGACATTTAGCGTTGACTTGAGTGATCCGCTCCCATCCTGGAAGGCCCAAAATTGCATTTAGTTGGTCAGCTTGTGTAGGTTTGTCCACATCAACACACAAAGATTCTTTACAAATCAATACCGTGTAAAACAGTACACCGGTTAATACGTGGCAAAACATTTTAAGTCGACAATAGTATTCTTCCACGTAAGGCTTTGAAACGACAGTGAAATTAATTCGATAATTTTTCTCACTCTGTGCTTTCGATCGTGCATGATATGCAAACAACGCGTTATGTTTACAAAGACCGTTCTTGCATGTTTACCCATCGCAATGCGATATTTAATTAAATTGATAGTAAATATTTCTAAGAGTATAGCACTAGTAATTGAAGTAAGAGCGAGACATGATACAGAGAAATAAAACCAAAGTGGCCTAGCCAAAGAGGTAGGCGAAAAAATCATTTTTTTTATTAAAAATCTTAAACTGAAATATAACAGTTGGTATTTCATGTTTTTATAAACGACCATACTGTAATACTTTTATCGAATATCATTATCAAATCGATATTGTAAAACACACCATGATAAAAACACGTATCATGATTTTACAAAATATATTCTTATATGAATAGAATTTTAAAGCCGTAAAATTGTTAAAGTAATACCTAATGTGGAAAGATTAAAAAGATTAAACACAATGTATTTGTAATGAGCTTGACTAATGCGAACAATCACAAAATATAAGATATATTGTTCATAACGAATATGTATTGATGTTACATTTTTTACAACATGTATTTATTCAGCAAAAATATGGACTCACTACAATGAAAAATATAGACACCGATCGATTTATGCAAATTTAATCTGGTAAAAAAAAAATAATTCACTACTGACTTTGTCTAGTTCAGCTATTAATAGTACTTGTACATTTTAAGGTCAAAAGCAATTACTCAAGAATTACTAAGACTCAACAAAGACTGGAACGTTGAAATATAAATTATTGAAAAAGTCTATTTCGAGTGTTATGTTGAAATGTTTGCAGAAAAAAAATTAAACGTAAGAACTTGTAAATATAAATTTTAACAAAAACATTTTATGAATTATACCAAAACAGATTTTTTTGTTTTTTTTTAAATTTCTTTGTTTAAAAATAATAACATGTATACGTGATATAGAATTTTTTTCTTTATTTACATTATTTTAGTTAGATTTTTTCCGAAAAAGATCACTCAATTCAGTTTTTTTTTATTTGGTTTTTAATTCTTCCATTTTTACACATTAAGAATAATTAAATATAATTATTATTGTTACGATATGCACGTTTGATATTAATGTGTAAAATGTGTCCAACAAAAATCTAAGAGTGAAAAAGTTCCACACCCCTCCAAAAAAGTCAACCTATAAAAGTAGTAATATCTACATTGTGGCCAAGTCTGCTATTTCTTAGTTCATAACCTAACTTCACTCCTACATGCATGAGCAACATTGATATTTTATTTATATTGCTTAACACTTGGCCAGTTTTCGAGTGAAACATGACCTTGCAGACTTGGCCACAATGTAGATATCACTTCTTTAATAGGCTGACTTTTTATCTTAGCTAAAATCAAATAAGTTTAATTCTAGAAAAGTTAAACCAACTCGATGACAGCATTGATAAAAATAATGACCAAGTACCCCCCTTGCGTTATGTGTGTAATATTTTACGGACAACGATGTTAAGAACTTAACAACGTTCTAATGCAGTACAATGATAGACTGTCTACTATAATATCCAGGTCTATACAGAGTAATCCATTTATATGATTTTCCTACAATGTTATCTCAATTTTTTACAATTTGTTTTTGTACTTACCCTACTCCAAAACTAAAATGTTTTATAATACCTTTTTAAATTTAAATGGTACAGTATATTATATTAATGTTTTATTAATTTGCAAATTAAGATTATTTTACAAATATTTTTATGGGTTGATAAGCCGTTAAAAAAACAGTATTCCAAAAGTAGTTTTCGACTGTATTTAGGAATGATTATCTATGAATCTACCAAGGCAAACAGCAGAATAACAATGCACACTATTTATTAACAGCATTTAAACGGCATAGTGCTCGAGTTATATTAATCAAATTAATAATCTAAATTAGGGTAGATTTAAATCATCCGAGGCCGAGAAAGTTTCCCACGATACTGTACATGGAATTGGTCGACTAGCCAAATGAGTGGTTTGCTCGCCGCTGTTGTACACGAAACCCAATTGTGAATAATAAATTTCGCTCACCTCGTCCACGAGTTTTTTGATTTCTTCTCCAAACTGATTTGCTACGTTGGTCGGAGTTTTTAGTTTACGAAGCCTAAGCAAACGGGTTTGTTCACCGACGCTAGAAACAGCACTCGTTTCCGACATCGTGCAATATTTTTCTAAAAACTCCACGAACGGTTTGGCTTCGCCAATGAGAAACCGTGACAATTGACGAGAAAAAAAAGTCATTCTTCTATTATGGTCAGGTTCTATTCGTCCGGTGTACTCGCGTCCAAGTACAAGTCCTAAATTTCTCGATACGTCTTTAAATTTTTTCAAACAAGGTAGAACCTCCTCTTCTAGCACGTGCAGAGTGTATTCGCCCGAAGGTATAGTGTCGACTAGATACCTGATTGCGCTGTACATACGGGCAAATATTTCACTATTGCTGGTCAACTGAAGCAAAGCTAAATCGAAAATCTCCCGAGGCACTTTGTAGTCGTTAGTCGGTCCATCTTCCGAGTTGTCGTTTTGTTCTTCAAGTTCCGGTTCTTCGACAGGGTTTCCTTCTTCTTCTGCTCCCTCCTCCTCTACCGCTTCGGTTAATTTCCTACGCTTTACATAATCAATATGGTTTGCAACGCTTCTTCTCGCTCGCCTATACTCTACTACGATGTTCTTTAATAAATCTATAAATTTCACCATCGCGTTAACGTACACACATGCGACCAAGTGTGAGACCATATAATGTTTGGCGTTTTCGTCAGGAATAATCAAAGTACTACCGGTTACTAATAAATCTTCTGCGGTGAACAATCCATTCCCGTTGACGGCCAATCGACATTTAGCGTTGACATGAGTGATCCGCTCCCATCCTGGTAAGCCCAAAATAGCATTTAGTTGGTCGGCATGTGATGATTCGCTCTCATCAGCACCAAACGAATGTTTACAAATCAATACCGTGTAAAACAGTACACCGATAAATACGTGGCAAAACATTTTGATTCGGTAAAAATATTATTCGACGTTAGGCTTTGAAACGACAATGGAAATCCATTTAATAACTTAGTCAACTCAGGGCCTTCGATTGTGCCTGATATATAAACGACCTAAGCGTTGTTATTGCAAATACGGTTTTTGCATGTTTACCAAACGCAAATATTTAATTAAACTCTTAAAATATATGTTACTAAAAACTTGTTTTTTACATTTTATGGTCGGCGAAGACCTGAGATGGTATATATTTTGCGTTGGTATGTTTTTATGATTTATTTATTTTAGTTATATGTATATTCTTTAGGTCTGACAAAAAATCGTTAACTGATAATCTATTATCTGATCTATTATCTTTTATACTGATTATCTATTAAATAACATTTCCATTGAACGAATTGGATTTACTTATTTTAGATAAGAAAGAGTTGGGAAGAACGTGTTTAATTTAGTCGTTGAAAAGTATAATTCTACTGTTGATGACTATATAATTTTCAGGACTTCATATTATATAGTTAACGATTTCGGATATACTATATTTAATTAAACTCTTATTTTTTTCACTAACACTAAGCAATTTAAAGTATACTGCACTTATACAGGGTCCACTCAGTATTATCTCACTGGGTTTAATTAATAATTACATTTTTTGTTATAGTGTTTTCATATACTAATATGATTTCATTTTTCTACAATTTTTATAAGTTCCCCTACCCCCTTCAAACTAAATGATTTACGTCAATTTTTGAATTTTAAATGGTAATACATATATTTTATTAGCTTGTTGAATTGAAAATTTTAAATAGTCGATAAACGGGTTCGGATAGCAATTTGTGCAATTATTAAAGTTTAAAGCTTAGGGCAGAAAGAAAGGTAGAGTGGTATCTGCGCGCACTTCATAACCATGCTTTTCATTCCGTCCTAAATTTTAAACTCTTATAATTTCAAAAACAGATATTTAAAACTGGTCATCAACCAGTCAAAGTGCATTATTCTTAATTTAAAAAATTAATAAAATATAGAAGTATCCATCTATGTTTCGAAAATTGCTACCAAAACAGTGATTTGGGAAGAAAATAGGAATATATTGAGATCACATTATGTTAAACACAAAAAAAAATTAATTAAATTATTATTATTTAAGCCCAGTGAGAAATTGATTGGTAAACGATAAAAAAAATCACCCTGTATTGCTTTTTTTATCTTAATCACTTTTTTATTATTTAATATATTTTTTAAGATATTTTTTTAACGTCAGCTACTCCTTTAACCGTAATTTGTTACTTACTTTTATAATTTACTTATTTATCTTTACCATCAAATAAAATTGACAATTTGTAGTTTGGCTGTGCACTTCACTCAAAATTTGTAAAAATGTCAAATTACCCCTTGTGACAAAGGCACCTTACATAATTAAAACAAAAGTGTTGATTCAGACTTTTACTAGTTTATTAGTTTATAAAAACTTTTTTCCCCTAATTAATTTTTTTTTAAAAGATTTTTTCCATAAAAGATCAATCAATTAACAGGTTTTTTTTGGGGGGGGGGGTTTGACTTTTCTGTTTTATTTGATCGTTTTTGACACATCAAGAAAAATAAAATAAAATTGATATCTTAATGTAAAATTTATACTCCTGTTGGAATGGTTTCCTGAACCCCTAAATGTATTTTATATATTGTTTTTTTAATAAAATTACTTATAATAGATTGTATAAATCAATTTTTGCGTTGATTCAGCTTCTTGCCATTCATCTTAGTTTAAATCAAATAGATTTAACTATAATTAAATAAAACCAACCTAATAACAGCATTGATAAATAGAATGTACGGAAAACATTGTTCACTGTTCACTGTATACTTAAATACAGGTCTAAACAGGGTCATCCAACAAGCTACCAAAACAGTAATTTGGGAAGAAGATAGGAATATATTGAGATCACATTATATTAAAAAAAAAAAAAATAAATTACATTATTTATAATTTAAGCCCAGTGAGATATTGATTGGTAGACGATAAAAAAAAAATCACCCTGTATTGCTTTTTTTTATTCCTTCTCACTTTTTTATTATTTAATATATTTAGTTGTTCAGTGTGATTCACATTAAAGACGCTTCCAATATTCTGGAAAGTATCACGTTTATTATTCTTCCAGGTATGTGTACTCTCATATTAAAATTTACCATCTAGTATTATAAATGCTATTACTAGTTAAACATTTTTAGTTTTTTGCAAAATGGATTAGGCGAAAAACCTGATTGGTTTAATATTTAACTTTATAATAATAAAAAAACAACTGAATGTTTTTGACAAAAAACTGACGAGATATATTTTTTAAGTGATTTTTTCAAAGTCATCTACTTCTTTAGCCCTAATTTGTTGGTTTAATTTTTTATATTTCTTGAAATATTTCATTGTTTTCATTTATACTGATATTTTGTTTAGGGGTTAGGTGATTTGCTACCAGATCGCAGCAAACAATGAATAATTTACTTATTTATCTTTACCACCAAATAAAATTGACAATTTGTAGTTTAGCTGTGCACTTAACTCAAAATGTGTAAAAATGTCAAATTACACCTTGTGACAAAAGCACCTCATAAAATAAAAAAAAAACAAGTGTGCATCAAGACTTTTTCTAGTTTATTAGTTTATACTGATTGGTTTAATATTTAACTTTAAATTAAAAAAAAACAACTGAATGTCTTTGACATAAAACTGCTGAGATATATTTTTTAAGATATTTTTTTAACGTCAGCTAAACTTTTTTCACCTAATTAATTTTTTTTTTATTAGATTTTTTCCATAAAAGATAACTCAATTAAGAGGTTTTTTTTTGGGAGGGGGGTTTTATTTTATCGTTTTTGACACATCAAGAAAAATAAAATAAAAATGATATCTTAATGTAAAATGTATGCTCCTGTTGGAATGGTTTCCTGAACCCCTAAATGTATTTTATATATTGTTTTGTTAATGAAATTACTTATAATAGATTGTATAAATCAATTTTTGCGTTGATTCAGCTTCTTGCCATTCATCTTAGTTTAAATCAAATAGATTTAACTATAATTAAATAAAACCAACTTGATAACAGCATTGATAAATAGAGTGTTCACGTACTCTTGAGTGAAGTGTGTAATATTTTGCGGACAACATTGTTAACTGTAACTTAAATACAGGTCTAAACAGGGTCATCCATCTAATACAATTTTTTTTTCAACTAGTCATAAGTATTCTTAATTTAAAAAAATTACTGAAATGTATGCGATACCTTTTATGTTTATAGAATTGTTATAAGAATAATTAGTTGGGGAGGAGAGTAGAAATATAAACATTAGTGGAAAATTAAGATCTCACTATATAAAAACCTCTAAGCAGTTGTTGATTAAACCCATTGAGATATTAAGTGTTTCACGATAAAATCTTGATCAACTTGTATAATAAACAATATTGATATAGAAAAAATTTCTAACATCAAATGGGTCACCCTGTATATAGGAATATTTATCTATGAATTGACTATGGCAAACAGAGGAATAACAAGGCACACAATTTATTAACAACATTTAAACGGCTTATATTAATGAAATTAATAATCTATATTCGGCTAGGTTTGAATTACTTGAAGTCGACCAAGTTCCCAATGATACTGTACATCTATGGAACTGGTTGGTTAGCGAAAGAAGTCGTTTGATCGTGGTAGTGGTACACAAAACCCAATTGTGAATAATAATTTTCGCACACCTCGTCCATGAGCTTTTTGATTTCTACTCCACATTGATTTGCGACGACGGTCGGTGACAGAGTCATTTCAATTACCAAACTGGTTTGCCCATTACCAATAGGAATAGCACTCCTTTCCGTTACCGTGCAATAATTTTTTAAGAACGACTCCACGGCCGTTTTGTATTTGCCATTGAGAAACAACGACAATTTGTGAGGAAACGTACTTTTACTTGAATTATAGTCTATTCGACCGGTATACTCGTGTCCTAGCACAAGTCCTAAATTTGTCGATACATCTTTAAATTGTTTCAAGCAAGGAAGGACCTTCTCTTCTAGCACGTGCAGAGTGTATTCGGCCGACGGTATCGTGTCGACTAAAAACCTGAGTGCGCTGTACATACGGCCAAACTTTGGACTACTGCTGTTTAACTGATGCAAAGCGGAATTGAAAATCGCCGAAGACTCTTTAAAGTCGTCGTTAGTCGGTCTATCTTCCGAGTGGCCTTTCTCCTCCACTGCCGCTTCGTTTGAACTCTTACGTTTCTTACAAGCAAGGCTTAAAACTCTTTTTCTCGCCCTTCTACACTCTACTAAGATGTTCCTTAATAAATTCATAAATTTTCCTGTCGCGTTTACGTACACACATGCTACCAAATGTGAGACCATATAATGTTTGGCGTTTTCGTTAGGAATAATCAAATTATTACCGGACACTAATAAATCTTCTCCGGCGATCCATCCATTTCCGTTGACTGCCAATCGACATTTAGCATTGACGTTGGTGATCTGCTCCCATCCTGGAAGGCCCAAAATTGCATTTAGTTGGTCCGCTTGTGCTGGTCCGCTCTCATCAATGCCAAACGATTCTTTACAAATCAATACCGTGTAAAACAGTACACAGATAAATACGTAGAATTTCATTTTAAGTCGATAGTAGTATTATTTCACGGAAGGCTTTGAAACGACAATGGAATGAATTCGATATCTATGTCACTCTATGCTTTCGATTGTGCATGTTATACAAAGAACCTACGCGTTGTTATTGCAAAAACCGTTCTTGCATGTTTACCCAACGCTAACATTCAACGAAATTCTTAAAATGTATATAACTATGAGTATAGCGCTAGAAATTGAAGTATGATACAGAAAAATGAAACTACAATGGCATAGCCACAAGCCGGGGCATAGGTTTTTCTTTTAAACAAATTCTAAACCCGATTATCTAATGGTGGTGATTTCATATTTTATTAAACGGCTATACTGTAATACTTTCGTCGAATACCATTATAAAATCAATATTGTGAAATTCGTCTTGACGAAAACGCGTATCATGATTTTAAAAAATATAATCTTATTT